AGAGAGAGAGAGAGAGAGAGAGAGAGAGAGAGAGAGAGAGAGAGCTTTCAATAAAACATTGTAGGCCATCTATTTTCACCTAGCTGTTGGTTTTGAAATTGTCTTTATTATGGTATTGATCAACACGCCGAAGGGACTCTAGCAGAGGCTGAAAATGAGATACAGGCATAGATGTCAAAGCTAACAATCGTTTGACACCTGCCCAGTTTTCTGGAACTTCCATGTGTATTCTGTGGCTCCCTGAGGTATCTCACACATGAACAACCTGTGTTCACACCTGTGCTCACACACTCCTGTGTTTTATGAACCCAGGGACTGGGCATGATGATGTGCACCCCCGAAGGCAGAGGCACAGGCTACCCTATGCAGGGAAGCTGCCCACTAAAGAAACCCAGCACCCCACCTGGGCTCCCACACTGGCCTGCCACACCCAAAGAGAGTGGACGTCTTTTTGGCTGACTCTCTTTGTCCTCGCCTCCCTTTCCTTAACATTCTCCTCCGCCCATTTCCATCTCCCTCCAGCCGCACGCTCCACAGCGGTCTCATCTTCTGTAGGGCAGGAGTCAGCTGTGCAGAGCCCTTCTGAAGCCTTCAAGGACAAGGACCTTGCTCTATTTATCTCAGGGCTCAAAACGTGTTTGCCGGATAAGGTGAAGGAGTGGCGACTGATCCCAGGATCAAACGTGTGAACGTGGGAAACAAATCAGAAATCCCCAGTAGCCGTTTGGTAAGTCAAGGTGAATGTATACTCCGTCCTGCACTGGTATTTGGCCTTACAAAGGCAGGCAAGCACACTCACAAAAATCCCAGGGTAAAACCCCAAACCAAACCAAACACGCACCCTCCAATCCCACCAATTTATGTTTATCTTCAATAACGCTGTATCAAGAGAATAGAAACATGCAAAATTGTAAGGGAGGAAAACCCCTCTTACGTTCTATATATTCTACATTCTCTACAAAAGAAAAAAAGCTATACTTAGCCAGTGAATCAGTGGAGACTTGAATGTGTTACCCTCTGGCTGGACCACACCTAGACACGACCCGTTTCACTTGCCACCCCTCTCTTCTCCAATTATTTGGTATGCTTGAAACCAAGTAAATGGATTCTGAAATTAGCTGGTCAAATAAAATTAGGGAGAAAAAAATACCTAGCCTAGACAACATCTCTACACGATGCCTCTAAGCACAGATAATATTCCCTTAGCACACAATGACCTAACCACAGTTCCATCCTGAACCAGCTTGCTTTCTTAGGGAAAACAGTAAGCCTCTGATGTTATAAAGCCAACCAACTGCTGGGCCTGCAGACTCGGCCGGAAGATCCTTACTTGGTTTCAGTAAGAGAGTCGGTAAGATCAGCCCTACTAAATTTAGTCTCTGAGCTGATTTCATCACTAACTCGTTGTCTCTGCTGACACAAGAGAGAAGGCACAGGGGACACAGCGCTAGGCTGGAACCAACCTATTTAACGAGCACAGATCTGTAGCCAAAAATGGTCACAAAGAACTTGCTACCTTGCACAGGAATAATTACCATCAGGGTGCAGCCCAGAGGCCTCATCCTCCACGCTCCACGAATGCCTGATGGCCACACCTGCGAGAAGCCCAGTGCCACACTGCAAAGCTCAAATCAATCTGGAGAAACACATACTGAATCCGAATCAAAAGCCCTGATCATTTTTCTACCTTAAAAAAAAAGTCAGTCAAGAAAAATGTTCAAAATTTGCAAAAATGCTTTCATCCAAATGACCTTTTACTTAAATACTCAGATGCTCAGGAGCCAGTACGGGGCTGATACTGGCAGTGGTCCCCGGCAGTGCGGAATGCCTGCACTCCGCCTGCTGGGGTGTCTGTCCGTGCTTGCTGTCCTGTGAGGAGGTGGGAAGGAGGTAGGGAAGATGCAGACTTTGGAAAAGCTGGGAAAGGGGGCTCTGCAGTCGCGCCCAGCCTAGGAGAGAAGATCCAGGCACAGCCACGGAGGTGGTGGTGGTGCCTGCCTGCCTGCCTGCCTGCCTGCCTGCGTGAGTGCGTGCATGTGTGCGTGCCTGCGTGCTTGTGAACTTTCAAAGGAGGCATAGGCGGGGTCAAGGGTGAGGAAGAGAGGCAATCCTTCGCCCCTGTGAAACTTCCCATTCCTTTCCCTGCCTCCTTTGCACACGGTCCACTTCTTTTCCGTCACCTCGAATAAAGCACCTCAGGTTGAGGGAGCTGCTTTAGGAACTTGATGCACCACACTGACCTCTCCCCCTCTTCAGCACCTTGGAAAACATCTACTAGACAGGTTTGAACTAGAACTCAAACAAAAACAGGCTATCGTCCCCTGACCACGCCCCCTTGAAGGCCCTGTACATTCTACAAAGCAAATGAAAGTTTCTGAGCTGGACCAGTGAGAAGGAGCTTGTGGTCCAACCTCCCATTCCACAAAGGGAAATCAACATGACTAGATTTCTAAGCAGATTTAGACGGCCAGCAGTACAAAATGGAACAGCCTTCTGCCCTCCTGGAAACAGATTGCTTTTTGCAAGAAATAAATGCAATCCAAATATACAGATCTGTGACCCAGATTTAATGTTCGAAGAAAGTGGTCATAAAGTTACATCTTAGGCATAAAATAATAAGAAATAAGAGCAAACAATTTTCATTATTTTGAAATGTATTACAAAGTATTTCCATGTGATTTACTTATTTATTTACTTATTGTGGTGCTGGAAATTGAACCCAGAGCCTTGTACACATGAGACAAGTGCTCTACCACAGGGCTATGACCACTACTCTTACTTTAAAGAACATTTAAACATGTTTGTGGGGAAGAAAGAGATGTTACATTAAGGCAGAAAATTCAGAAGCAAATACAGCACCACAGTTGTATTTCAGCCTTTTGCCAACTAAAAAAAAAGCTAATGTTTATTTTTTCTAACTTGCCTTATATTCTCAAAAAACTTTATTGTGAAGAGCTTCCACATTAATTACACACACACACACACACACACACACACACACACAGACACTAATCAGTCCCAAAGTCTATACATCTCAATGAACTTCTGCAGTTAGAATTCCATACATTCTCGGTGATGTTTGTTTTACCATTGGCTTTGAGGGAGATCTGTTAGCTGGAAATAAAGAGAGTGACGTCATAGGGGAGAAAGGCGAAGGGGAACTGCCTTCACGCGGGTGGGGTGTGGTGTCAGGAAAGTACAGTCTGCAGAAACATGTGCATGTGATCTTCCAGTGTCTTCCCAAAGCACATTGCTAAAATCAAACAGCACACAATGGGCTACAGGGAACCAAAACAAATCCCCAAGATACATTATGCTGTAGCATAATCTTGCAGGATGCCACTACGTTATACTTCACAAATCTGAGCATTCCTAAGCATGATAAGGGCAAATCACTTAGGTCATCAGTATTTGGATTTGTTCTTGTCTGGGAGGCACCGTCCTACCTGCCTTCAAAGTCTTCTAGCACGAGAATAGAGCAATGAATTCATAAACAAATACACAGAGAGACACTTCTTCCTGCCAAATGCCATTGCTGAAGACAAAACTAAGCTAGGACGGAACTGGTGCCAGCCAGGTTTGGGAGGCCCACACTTCCCCGTTAGTGATGTGAGGCTTCTCACAAGCATTGCGAGCTGAAGAAAGACCAGTGCCTGTCTCTCCACAGCAGGGACTAACACTTGCTTTCCAGTCAGAAATGTGTCTCAAAGCAGAAAGGAAACTTTATTACTGGGGACTTGGCAAATTCTGGCCGTACTGCATGAAATCAGTTTGCATACAACTCGCTGGAAAGAGAGTTCACAGTCCGATACCAACGAGTGGGTTAATACTCAGAATTCCTCCACATTTAAATGCCTTCGCACAAACACATTTTGGTAATGCTGTATTCCCTAACACCATGCACCATGTTCACCTTGGGGCCACGAGCAGAAAAGACATGTTTGTCTATTAGTTTACAAGAAAACATTTACTTTGCAAAGGAGAATACTTCATTTCAATTTACACAGCTAAAGGTAGATTACTTTAACATACTCAGACTTTATTTTTGAAATTGCATCTTTTTTTCAAACAGGTTTAACCCAATATGCATTCCCATAGAACGACAGTGGAGCGTTGGGCATTAGACAAACAGTAAACTACACACCTGTTCTTTAGAACCGTGGTGCATCCTAGGATTGGGAGTCGATGTTATACACAGCATGGCAGGTGTTATGCCGGATGGGGGGCGGGGCTTGGGGGAAACTACAAGCCTGGGAAGTCTTCCCAGGGCTGACGGTAGGTGAGGCGGGTTGAACGGTGAACAGGGTGTTACTGCATACACAAAGAGGAGGAAAACTGCAGGGTGCCAAAGGGAAGACAGCTGTAGAGACCCAGAGTGTTTGTGCCACGAGGCTCCGGGAGAGAGGAGCAAGGGAGCCGAGAACGGCGATGGGAAGCCCTGAAGATCCGCGATTGGCTTTGCTGTTGTCTGGTTGGTTGGTTGTTCCTATAGACAAGTACTCTACGCTCTAGCCCCAGCTGCTTTTTATTTGGGAACAAGGTCCCACCAGGTTACTCAGGCTGGCCTTGGACTGGTCCTGTGGCCCAGGCTGGCCTTGTAGCTGTGATGCCCCGTTTCAGCCTCCTGAGTAGCTAGGATCCTGGCACTGCACCACCTTGCCAAGCTCTACAGTCACGGTGACAACAGGATGAAGGAACGGAGGCTAGGAGCCAGCTTTACAGAGAGGTGTGGCCGACAGCCTGCCAGAAGCCGCTCACACGCCCATCTGGATGGCTGTGTGCTCTTAGATGTTCCCAAACACACCCCCATAGGTTTTTCAGTTACAGCCAAGTTTCCCCTTTTGATTGTGTAGCCATACATACATACATACATACATACACACAAACACACACATACATATGTTTTTGTCTTACCCCAAATATGTCATGTGTGGTTTATAAAAATCACATTCAATTGCCAATAAACACATCGGGTAAATACTAAAAAGACAATCTCTTACCTGAACAGAGCTGTTCCACTTTTGTGTAGTTTAGAGACACGATGTCATTAACCCATGCAATGATGTCATGCCTGCTCATAGTCTCCTGGGTTATCGAGGTAGAATACACATTGACCGCCATTCCCCAACTAGGATAAAACAAACGAATAACTTTATTTATAAGACAAAGTAAGTTTATTTACTCACAAGAAAAAAATTACCTTAGAAAGAAAAGACAGGTAATCAAGGAGGGCATGAGTGGCGGAGCCTTGCCACAAAGTTCCTTCATGTGGTCCTGACCCCACACAGGAGGTACAGTGCCATGGGCAGTGGTGAGAAATCTGGCCAACCGTAAACGGTTTCTGAATATGCAGCAGCCAACAATTAGTTCACCATCAGATGTGTAACAATAGAAACAGGTCTGCAGTGAGCGTACAGCAGCCAGCAATTAGTTCACCATCAGATGTGCAATAGAACAGGTCTGCAGTGCGCGTGCAATAGAAACAGGTCTGCAGTGTGTGTGCAATAGAAACAGGTCTGCAGTGCGCGTGCAATAGAAACAGGTCTGCAGTGTGTGCAGCAGCCAACAATTAGTTCACCATCAGATGTGTAATAGAAACAGGTCCGCAGTGTGCGTGCAATAGAAACAGGTCTGCAGTGCGTGTGCAATAGAACAGGTCTGCAGTGCGTGTGCAGCAGCCGACAATTAGTTCACCATCAGATGTGCAATAGAACAGGTCTGCAGTGTGCATGCAATAGAAACAGGTCTGCAGTGCGTGTGCAGAAGCCGACAATTAGTTCACCATTAGAGGTGCAATAGAAACAGGTCTTCAGTGAGCGTGCAATAGAAACAGGTCTGCAGTGTGTGTGCAGCAGCCGACAGTTAGTTCACCATCAGATGTGTAATAGAAACAGGTCTGCAGTGTGTGTGCAGCAGCCGACAGTTAGTTCACCATCAGTGTGTCCTGGATCCACAGCGCTCCTGGCAGCGCTTGACCATGCTGTATAAGTAGCCGTCACTGCAGCCTTCACTCTGAACACATGTATGCACATGCCCCACATGTATGTCCCACTGCATGCCATCACACCTTGAAATGGCAACGAGCAGTGCCTAAAATCCCCTGGCTTGGATTTTGTGTTTTGCTAAGTGCAGTTATTTTTAATATACATACAAAACTTTCTACTCTTACAGAAACATGCCGGCTTAATTATAGAAAGCAAGGCTTTTAGTAGTCTCCTGCTCGTGAGGATCAAAACAATGCATTTCTGGATCGTACTGTGCTAAGACCAACAAACACATTCATCTCTAGTATGCAAATTTGCTTTCATCTTTTTTTTTTTCCTTTCTTTTTTGAGACAGGATCTCACTAGCTGTCTCTGGCTGGCCTGGAACTTCCTATGTAGAGCAGGCTGGCCTTGAGCCTTCAGTGAACTGCAGCCTCTGCTTGCCATTGCTAACATCAGAGGTGTGAGTCATTGTGCCCAGCTTCGTGGTAAAATCACACTCACACCAAAGGACTGTCTTAAAGTTCTTTATGACTTACTGTCATAAATGTCTGATTCCTGTACCCATTTTACTTCCTACCTAGCTGAGCTTAGGTAAAAATTCCTTAGGTGAAAAGGGGTTTGGAGTGGGAAGTTTCAACAGCCATGCTCTAGAGGGAGCAGCGGGCCAAACCCATTTGCAGCCTTTCCCCCTCAGTTCCTTGGAAAAGTATCTGGACCACATTTCATGTGATTTTTCCTGTGGTACCATTTCACATTTCTCCCATCTAGACTAATGTTCTTCAGGCTCTGAGACTCTTAATTTATAGCAGAATTTAGCGTCTTAACTTTTGGCCTTGGGTCTATGTGGGACCTTAAGTTATCAGGGTTACAACACTGTGTAGCACCACTGCAATCTTGTTTCGTTTTCAAAAAGATTTATTCTGCAGGTAGGAGGGTGGGGGTGGCATGTGCCTTTAATCCCAGCACTCGGGACGCAGAGGCAGGTGGGTCTCTGTGAGTTCAAGGCCAGCCTGGTCCACAGAGTGAGTTCAAGGACATCAAAGACTACACAGAGAAACTTTGTCTTGAAAAAAAAAAAAAACAACAACAAAAAAGGATTTATTTTATTTTTTACTGTGTGTATGTTGTGTGTTTACACACATGCACACACGTAAGTGTAGTGTTCACTGAGGGCAGAAAAGGCTGCTGGATCCCCCGGAGCAGGAGTTACAGGTAGTTGTGAGTGGCTCAGTGTGGGTGCTGGGAATCAAACTGGGTCCCATGCAAGAGCAGTCAGTGCCCCTGACCACTGGGTACCCTCCAGCCGGCAACCTCGTGGTTTTGCACATTATCTCAGAACTGTCACCACAAGAACTCAAGGTGCCAGTGTCTCAGGGGCTGCCCCTTCTATCAGCTGTGTGCTAGTAAAGGACTCTTTGTAACCTTTAAACACAGGTAAAAACTTTGCAATTCTAACTTTGCAGTGCATACACGATAGGCACATACGAAATTTTATTCCAGCAACAATCAAATACACGCAAAAAAGAAATAAAGCAGAATAGCAAACCAGCTGTGTCTATGTGGTGGTTTGAAAGAAAATGACCCCAAAGGGCGTGGCTCTAATGGGAAGCGTGGCCTTGCTGGAGGACGTGAGACCTGGTTGGGGAAAGTGGGTCACTGCGGAGGCGGACTCTGAGGCCTGGTATATGCCCAAGCCACACCCATGAGAAAGTGCACTTCCTGCTGCCTTTGGATCAAGATGTAGAGTTTTCCAGCACCACGGTCATCTGCGCCCACCCTGCTCACAACCACCGTGGTCCTGCCATGATGACAATGGACTAAGCCTCTGAAACTGAAAGCCAGCCCCAGTTAAATGTTTGCCTTATAAGATTTACCGTAATCATCGGGTCTCTTCACAGCAACGGAAACCCAACTAAGACAGTCTACATCCTGGATTCAGTGACAGTCAATTCTCCACCAAGTTTGCTTTATATATAGTCCCATCAACTGCCCTTGGCCCATCCCATTTCTGACTCCACAGACCATATTATTTTTCAGGAAATGCCAAGCATTGAGTCATGTCAGTTAAAGATATTTCAGTGTGTTTTTGGAAAGCTAGAGACAACAAAAACACTAAGTAACAAATGCAGCAGTATTACACACTGAAATGGCCATTGTTTTTAATATGGAAGTGTTTTGATGGCTGGTCATTTTGTCTTAGTAGACACTGTACTTCCTTGTGGGCTTATTCCTTCCCCATTAACTGCAGGTTTGTCTTCACTTCATTCCTAGTCTTTCATGTAGACTTGTAATTGTTATCAAAAGAAATATGCTCTTTGGAAGAATTTCCAAATCTGGATGTGTCCACTCCATCACAATGGTGTGGTTTGATGCTGCTCTGGTCTTGGCTTTCCTGTACCCTTTGTATGATTTGATCTACAGGCTGTGTCTGGTTCAGGCCCTAATCTGGGGAGTCAGGTGAAAGATTCCATCCTGTAGTGCCTGAAATTTCCCTAGAAATCAGAGACTGTCTGACTCCTTCTGTCATGCTGTTGACATTGCGATAGTTGCCTAGACCCAATAGTTCATTAGTGACTCCTAAGTTATTGTCTGATGGTCATTCTTAACTTATCACGTGCAATGACCCCACAAAGAGAGAGCCTGAGGTTAGATCATGGACACAATACGGAGCACGTCCTGATTGCTTCTGTACTCTGTAATTGGGTGTCCTGAATATTCTCTGGCCAACATGATTTTTATTTTTATTTAGGAAGTATAGCCATGAAGTCACAGAGTTTTAGCAAACTTGATATGCTTTAGTCCATTGCAGCTTATAACTTGACTTATAAAAGACAAGTATGCGCTGGGCGGTGGTGGCGCACGCCTTTAATCCCAGCACTCGGGAAGCAGAGGCAGGCGGATCTCTGTGAGTTCGAGGCTGGGCTGGACCGATAGCCTCTGAAACAATACAGAGAAACCCTGTCTCGTAAAAACCAAAAAAACAAAAAACAAAAAACAAAAAACAAAACAAAACAAAAAAGACAAGTATGCAAGTGCCTGTGCTTATTTGGGCTGGCTTTTCAGTTCTTTTGATAAAGTCCTTCCTTATTTTCTGTTGTGACAAAAATTTCCAGGCTGACCTGGTAACTTTGCCACCTCTGACCTAAAACGAGTCCTTTCTCCCAGGGCCCCTGGCCCCTTTCTATAACTGACAGTAAATGTTTTAAACATGACTAGATAAAACACTAACATTTAAAGTTTACATAGAGGCTCTATACAAATGTTGTATATGTTTATTAAGCAATTGTGCTTGGAATCGTTTACTTTCATTAAATGATGCCAACCTGCTTCCTGCTTCAAGGTATTAAATGGAGTCTATAGACATGAAAACAGCATCCACGAATCTTTTAGATTCCCTCTCCCTGAAGACTGAGAACAATCTGGCAGCATTGAATCCAGATAATGTGACTGTGAATATGACTTTTCTACACTTCTATTAAAAGTTCTTTTGGTTTTCAGTCAATAGCTTTATTTTCTATAATGACCACTTGAAAGCATTTACTTTTATAATGCAAGCACTTTTCACCACCTTTAATAAATTATATAAAACTTTAGTAAGGATAAATAATTCAAAATTTAAAGTATTTTGGACTGTTTGATGTGATTTTTATATACTGACATAACTTTTGGCAGTCGATATAGTTTCCTAATGATTTTTTTCACGTGGTAATAAAAAGCCTTCACATTTCCGAGCAATGGACAGAGGCAAGGTGGTGTCAAGGCTCAGAACTAGGTGGCATCCAACCCAAGGGAGATGAAAAGTGACTTAAAAACACAACGCAGGGCCAGGTGGTGGTGGCGCACGCCTTTAATCCCAGCACTCGGGAGGCAGACGCAGGCGGATCTCTGTGAGTTCGAGGCCAGGCTGGACAGACAGCCTCCAAAACAGAGAAACCCTGTCTCGTAAAAAAAACAAAACAAAAAAATAAATAAAAACAAAAACAAAAAAACACAACACAGGGAAAGGAACAAACAGATCTGTGTTTGACAAGCCTATCCCACTGAGTAAAAATTGTTTGTAGTTACACAGAGTGAAGAATACCAAACACAATGGGTAGCTGAGATTTAAAAATATATATGTGAGAGCAACAGGGTGGGCTGC